TTGGTATTACTCTAGTTCTCTCTCCTTATAGTCTTTGAAGTTTTTGGCATCAATTGAAATGGATACACGTGTACTACCTTGTGCTGAAGGGTTTGGCATTATAAATTTGGTTCAAAGCGATCCGCCAGTCATACAATTTAAAATTTTAGGAAGAATTCAAGGACTTCAGATCTATTAGCCTAGGGTAAAGTGCTTAATATTATTGCAGAACTCTCTTGTCTGGATGATGTATGCTTGAAAACACACTTTATGAATTTTTGTTAGTTAAGTTGTGGAGAGTTTTTGTCTTCTCTTTTTAATTGCTTATCTTTTTCTGCCTTTCTGGAGGTCTTTAGTAAAAATAGAACTCTGCAAACTAATCTATCAGATGTTACTTGTTTTAGTATTATGATCCTTTTTTTTTTATAAGATATTTCAGTATTATGCTTTGTTGGTCCACTTTCATGGATTATGGCCTGCTGCTTATCGTTTTTATCATGCAGTTATCTATATATCTTCACTAATGATTCTCTTTGGCACTATGATGGCTGTTTGCACTTATTTGTTCCTTTGTTGTTAGAATCGGTGCAAATCCTAGATCAGCGGAATAACTAAGTTACCGTTCTGATGGTGTCACAGATGATTATCGTCTATTCTGTGGTGATCTCGGGAATGAGGTGAATGATGATGTCCTATCAAAAGCTTTTTCAAGGTTTCCAACTTTTAATATGGCCAAGGTATGTGCAGTTTATATTTTCCAATAATTTTACATGTTTATGTTTTTGATTGTTATACATGAGTACTGTCATGAAGGGAGAGAAAATTCTTTCTATATGCTTAGACAGCTACTGATAGTGTGGTACATTGAAAGTGGTGTGCATGCATTTAGTTTTGAGAGACTTCTCCTCAATTTTAACTGCGTTCTATTTCGACTTCAATAACTTTTTAGTAGTATCATTGTTGGATAAAAAATTGCATTCCTCAGCTTGTCACCGGTCCAGTAATCTCCTTCTCTTCTCCGGCATATAATCTCACTGGCGTCTCATTCTAGATTTGGGTAATATGCCCTATTCCTTTGAATTCAATTCTCACTCCCTTCGGAATGCTATTTCTCCCACCCTTCAATGAAATTCTTGCCCATTTTAGGTTATTTCGGGGTTCTGTCTCTTTCTTCCGTCCTTCTCCATCTTCCACAAAATTCCCCTACTGCCTTAAAAACCTTGTTTGACCACACGTGAAGAGGTAAACATACCAGTCTGATCCAGGTCTGTTCAATAGCTGCTGTAGATCGGATAGCACCTACAGTTGGTGTCCACCGTTGGAGTTGCAAGCTCTTTCTTCCACGACCAACTACATCTGAGTACATGTTCTGCAGCTTTTCATGTAGGCGAACTCAAAAAGGAATCAGTTTTTCCCCATGTCATAGATGTTCAGACCATGGGATTGGTTCCAGTTCGAATTAGCCATCTATTTCCGAGAGGGTCGGCCGGTCGGGATTTCAGACCCATTAGTACCTCACCATAAAGGCTCCTGCTCAAAGCCTCACAATGAGATAGTTTGGTTTAACCATCAATATGGATTATATCTCCATCTTGTTTGGTGGTTGCAGCATTTAACTGTTCAGCATAGGGAATTCCCTTGTCAATCAAAGTGGGGGTTTTGTTGGTTATCCTCGTGGCTCTATTCTCTATTTGTTATAGCCAAATCTCACCAACCTACATTTGATGCTGTTTCTGGAATAACTAATACTGCTGTCTTTTCCCTATACGCTGATTATACTTACATATCTCCCTCTATTGTTGAAATTTCTTGCACGGAAAAGCTGGGTAGATCATTCCTGACTTCCTGTCGTTTCCATCTGCAAACAGTACTGCCTTCAATTTTTAAAGCTTCTTTTAAAGTTCTGCACAGCCATTCGATTGTGTTCTGACTAAAACTTTGACCTGCTCATCTTTTTTCTTCCACATTCAATCCAGTCTTACCAGCTTTCTTTGTCAAAGGATTTGAATCCCAACACAAAATAGATTATGTTGTTTTCCATGATATGAGTCAAGGAGAGAGAAAGAAGGGGTTGATTGTTAACCTTCAACCTTTTTTTCTCAGTTACCCAAAAAAAAAGGGGGGGGGAGGGGAGGGGTTGATGATTAACATGTAAGGTGTTAAGTGAGGTATGGAAAGCAAAATTTTCCAGTGCCAAGTCCACCGAAAAGGGTGGTTCTTCCCTCCTAGGAAGTAGGAGATAGAAGTATCTCGGTATTCGTGTCTGGGAGCATTTTTTTACACTTTTTTTCTTCTCTTTTCTAACACATCAATTTTTTTCAAGAACAGCCTTTTGAAGATAAAGATAATGTGATCTAGATTTGCATCTTCCTATTTAGCTGTGGATTAAGTGTTCCTATCCATCATGGTTTCTATTCCTATGAATGTTACGTTCTATGAGAAGTATTTTATTTTATATTCTTGCTTGTTTTCGTGAAACTTCATTGTATAACTGTATGCTGTAGCTTACAAGGTTCAGTAATAAAGGGTGTCTACAATTCATGTTGACAGGTTGTAAGAGACAAGCGGACTGGTAAGACCAGGGGATATGGATTTGTGAGTTTTTCCAATCCATTGGATCTTGCTGCGGCACTTAAAGAAATGAATGGTAAGTTATCTGTTAATCATTATATGTGTAGTATCTTAGTCTCTTTTTATATAGTTTCTTGGTTCCCCTTTTCTTTGATATTTTTATGTCAACTGATTTAGATTCATAGAAAAAGTGTGCCCCCTATTGAGCCAGTGGTTTTGTATTTGAACGTGTAATCTCTCTCCCTCGCCCCCTCCCCTCCCCTCTCTGCACAGAAGAAGGAATAATGGAGGAATTAAGTAACAGAACTCTGTACTGAGGACACCATTTAGGACTGCTTTTGAAATCAGTTTAGGTAAAGAAAAAATTAGTGAGGAAATAACAACATCAACCAAACTTGTACGAGAGAATCTCAGAAGTCTGTTTTTTGTGGAGTTAGTGAAGTGGGAAGTTCATCAATGTCTTTAATGACGGTTGTTTTAGTTATTGAATCAGTATAATATTATACCTAGATGCCTACTAATGATGTGGGGAAATTCATGCTATTTTCAGGAAAGTATGTTGGTAACCGGCCTATTAAACTTCGCAAGAGTAAGTGGCAAGAGAGAATTGACTATGAGGCTGTGGAAAGTCACAAGGTGAGGTTTCTTCCGCGGTGATTGTCCTACTTATATTATATTACATCGGGACAGAGGCATTAACTGACTACTTTTTTTTTCTCTTTTGAATGTGTTGGATCTTGTGACAGAACCGATCACATAAGAAACCAAAGCAAGCAAAGAAGGGTATATTTCACAAGTGAGCATAGCATACATCAACCATGATAAGGACTCAAGCAGCAAGATACTTGAAATGTGTATTAATCAATTTCTTTACCAGTCCTTGCCTGGGAAAGAAGGATCAAAGTATAGTCCAAGGATGCATCTATGTCTGCAATTTGTTATTCACAATGGTATAATATCTATCAGTAGCTGGTTAAGATGTATTTCTTCCTCAAGAGCTCTGGATGATCCTTTTAACAAACCATACATCGATGGATTGGGAGAAACTAGTTGTGGTTTGGGAACTTTGGTTTCATTACATCCGTTTTGTTTTTCATTAATAGGGTCGTTTGGTCTGCGGATTAAATTGTCTCGGGATTATAGTATGAGAAAGAAAAATGCCATTTACTTTGCTGCTAAGCTATGTAAACATCATATAGGATCTGACTACGTTTTTAAGAAACTAAAAATTTCTTATTTCAAAAACTGAGTTCCTTAACCTAACCTAGCACGAATGAACTCTGTTACCTTGTTTTTTGGTATGATTTATATTGGAAAATATACATTAAGTCCACAAGTTCAGTGGTGTTTTTAGATACATGTATTTTGAATACATGTATGGAATATGAATCTCGCATATGTAGTATTTCAGATACATGAGAATTACCATATCTAGTGTGATTCACATGTATATGAGGCACAAACAAATCTTGCTCCCTCTTTCTTTATGTCTGGTAACAAATTACATGCATCTTTCTTTATATCTCTGGTAACAAATTACATGCATCTAAGGGTAAGATACCTAAAGAATTCTTAATTTGTGATAAGATTGGTAAAAATTTTTTTTTAGTATATACAATAGTTATGTAGTTTTCATATATTATAATTTGTGGATTATAAAAGGGTGGTTGTGTTTTACTTTTTAGGGTTGATTTAATTTTTTTTTCGTGAAGCGAAGGAGAAATCCGGTGGATTGTGTGGTAATTTACAATCCTCAATTCATCATATGATTAGCTACAACAAGGTATGTCGTATTTAGATTTTGTACAGTAAATTTAAACTGTTTCTTATAGTATTGGGGTAATTTGACCGTTATCTATATAATAATATATAACTAAATGCAACAAGAAATGGATAGATATACTATAAATACGAGAATAAAATCATAAGATGTTCAAAATTCGCCAAGCCAAACTTCAAAATCGCATGTCTAAAATTTACAAAACTCAAAAGTACAAACAATTACGTATCACAAGAAAAATGGTTTGTTGTCATCTTTGACGCCTCTATACACACACTCATCTCTACATTCTTTCAAAACACTAAAAGAAATTCCTCAAGATGTACAAAAAATCTACAACTCTCCATTACGCTACTCTTGTTGTTCACCTACCTCTTTAGTTCCTGCACAATACATGAACGATGAATAGCCCGTTTGGATTGATGGAAAAATAAAAAGTAGGCAGAGTCCTACCTTCTGATTTTTAATTTTTTTAAAGTTATTTTATACTTTAAAAGCTAAAAATGAAACTTTTAAACCAATCCGAATGGGCTCAAAATCATCTAGAATATAGACAGAGACAAAATATCAATACAACAATCATCAGTGCAAGAGGAGCACAATGGAAGAAAACTTATATTTTTACTTGGTATGATATGATGACAAAATGAACTGAGTTTACATGGAAGCACCATTACTATATATCTTGCTACTTAAGAATGGAAACAAAATGCAAATAAGAGTGTAAGGAAGCAAAGTGATAAGTAAGAGGTCATCGGAAACTTACAATGTTCCAAACAAATAAAGTCTTTGAACTCTTGTAAGTTCGGAACCATACTGATTGTCCTCGATAAAAATAGTCAGACTGGTCCAACAGCAATACAAAAGAATTAAGGTCATTTTACAAATGAATACCTCCAAAAAAGAAAACAAGCTATTGAAGCATACCTGTGAATGCGTTGAAAATTAATTTGATTCACCTTTACTGTTACTCCCTACCAAAAAAAAAAGAAAAAACAAGATACTTGAAGAATGAACATCGAACCTCCAGGGAAAATCTTAACTCTACGAGAACAACCCCATTAAGTATTTTTTGTTAAGACATAACCGAAGAAGCAGAATTCCTGAACCAGGATTGGCTTACCCTGAGATTATCTTCAGATAAAATTGCTGTGTCTCTCGGAGTGGTTTTAGCAGCATCACTGCAGATAGTTCGAATTCAATTAGCTAAAGGTGACAAATGTGCCCACAAATGGCTCAGTCCAGGAAAGGACACCAAATATTATGAAACTACAGAATTCACCTGATATCAAAGTGCCTTTTGTTAGCAAACAGCTTCACAGTTTTAGGACCTTTAATGTAGGAAAAAATGTGTTAAGGCATGGCATCAGTTTATATAGACTTCTTAAAGAGAGTTTAACAGAAACACCAAAGAGCCACTTTCACAGTAAGTATGGCACCTGTGAAAGCAAAGTGAAATAAATCAATCAGGAACTATTACTTAGAGAGCATCGAGAACAGCACGTAACCACATCATTGACTCACGACATCAAAATGTCAACAGATAATCTACCACTTAACTGTATACATGATTGATCCATATCTTTAACATTACACCTATACCAATACATAAAACAGAGCAGAGCAATCGGTGAACCCCATTATAGAGAAGCCTGTCATAAAATTATCTGGCTATCCCACTAACAAGAAATGAAAAATCCATATCTTTAACATTATTCCTGAACTGCACTCTCTGGCTATCCCACTAACAAGAAACGAAAAAGATTTTAAAAGGTCACTGCAAACTAGGTAGTTTTACAAATTATCCATATTTTCTTGCTCTCCTTCAGATTTATGCATAAATATCAGAGTCAAGATTTTACTTAACAAGACATAGTGGTTTATCCAGCAACTAGTTGATGCATCATTTAGCTACATATCCATATAATAAATTATGAACACATGCCAGAGTAAGAATTTGTTTATCTTAAACAGTTGGCCTACAAAGGTAAATCTTCCAAAAAGCTGAAAATGCAAAGAGGTTAAACTAAAGGTCTTACGCACCTAATAAGAGATCACCGAGGGGCAAGAAGACACGAAATACATTGCCTACCTTCCTCCATGAGTCCTCCAATAACCAATGAATGCAAATTGATAGGCTGGTAAAAAGGTAAGTAAATCAATAGCTGCTCATCTGCAACGCTCTCCAAGGTCAAGCCCTTCAACTCTCTGTAATCCTAATTTAAATATTCAAAATAAAGTCAACACCATTAGTTTAAATTAAAACAAAGGCAACCTATATTGGATGAAGGAAGTTTCATTGATAGCAGAAGCTACTAGAAAAGATTATGTCAACTCCAATTTATAAGAGACTAAGCGAGCTTCCATTTAAAAGAGCTAATTAGCTATATTGTGGAGCGAACAATATCCAAAATAATGATCAGTGATATTTAAGCATAACAAATTGATCAAGTTAAATAGATCTTTCTTATACAAAAAAAAAAAAAAAAAAAAAAGCAGATACAAATTGATCTACATCTAATATACTGTTTCTTTGATAAAATTTATCCTATCCTATTCACTGCTCAATGTAAAATTCCTCAGCTTGAAAAATATATGGAAGGCCCAAATTTAAGAAATGGACAAAATCTTCTCCTTCTTTTACTTAGTTCATTAATTGTACCTTTTCTAGGGCATTGTTAAAACAGTGGATGCGGCTTCCATTAAGGCAGCGAACACACCGCAGGTCGACAAAGTCCAACAAATCAACCTGTTCATCACCCAGAAGTTGCAAAACATTTATATATGTTAAAACTGACATATGATAAAATGGCGTAGAAAACGAAATTATGAGGATCGCTAAGTTTATACATCTTACTTTAAATTCGGGAACTTTTACAACCAATGCATCCTCCTCAACTTCCTGTTCAATACCGTTGCTTGCAAATTCATCAGTATCCTCATATTTATCTCGATCAATAACACCATGAAGTTCTTGAGGTTGAACCTGAAAACCAAAAGGAAACTGTAATTTTAGAAAAATAATAAAACAAAGAAAATATAAGTGGCGTACATACCATAGAGATAGTACCATCAGCCCATGTAACCTCAATGTTGCCATCTTTGAAGCCAATTATATTCCCAAAGGAGGACAAATGAGAATTTTCTGCTTCTCTTGTTATTCGGCGCAACACCAAGTTACCCAGGTGATAGTTAAAAAGTCGATTTAGCTGGCAAGAACTAATGATTTCCTCATTTGGGATATTCAGCCATCTAACTGTTGTGGTTTTCTCCTTGTGATCAACAGATTTGACGACTCCCAAACCATCAGAATTATCCAATACCACATATTGACCGATGAAGAAATCGTGAACTCCAAGATCAGAAATGGGTTTCAGTATTGATGATGGTAGGTTCTTTTCAGTTATCCCATTTTGCCAAGTCACATCAACAGAAGTTTCGACATCACCAAGTAAAAATTCAGTTTCAGATTTTGAAAGCTCATGCCCGCATACATTTCCAATTTTCCAAGTGGAGCAAAATGGAAACACTTGGGTCAACCTGTCAGGATCTTGTTTAGCAAGGGGAGGGGAGTCGTCATTGCCATCAGAACTAATGATCCATATAACATATACTGATCCATCGACCAGTTCTGTTATTGTACATGTCCGTTTCGGGGAAACATTCACCTTCTGTCCAAGATGTAGTGAAAGACCATCCCAATCATCATGTGGCTGAAGACCCATCCCTCCTTTAAAAGTGCGTAAAGATCCATTCATGAACCTTACAGTAACATCACGGAGAACAAAATCTACCCTACCCAACCAATTGTTAAGGACTACCATATCTCCCTCCAAGAATTTTGTTACACGCTTCAGTTGGTTAGATGGAATGTATTGCGAAGGCTTGAGCTTTTTCACATCATACAGAAGAAATGATTGATTTATTTGAACTACTTGTCCAAGTGCCTTGTCTAGATCAGAAATGTGAGCAACAAAGTCCCCCAGTCTTAACATTCTTCCCCTGTCATTCTCCAATTCTTCACCGGCATTGTCCGATACAGAGTCATTGTCAACTGGAAGGCCCGGAGGAGAGTCTAACTTGGCATTATCTTCACCTTCCATCTAAAAATCTAACAATGTGACATATAGTTTATCACAAGAACATCTACATTACATGTAAAACTTAACCGATTCACAGTAAAACAGGGGCAAAAATCGTATTCATAATAACATGCATGTCAACCGTGAGACAACCAATCACTATACATCACAATAATAACAAGCCAGCGGCAAGTCTCGAAGAGAAAAGCGCAACAGAGTACAAAAACCCTACCCTAATTTTTTTCCGATCAACATCAAATTCCAATTGCGAAAGAAGCACCGAGTAAAATCATATAAAATTAACAACAGAACTCAACAATACAGCCGGTAAGGCTGAAGATACAAACTCATGAACAGAGTACATAAACGCTAACATAAAAAAATTCACAATAACATGCACGCTTTTCTTCTGAAACAGCATTTCATAGAAAGAATTAAAACCGAGATCGAGCCAGCTTAACTTAGTCAAAACGTCACTAATGGGGAGGCCGTCGGGTGTCGGTTCCAACGCAAACAGAGGGATAGTAAAATGAGAGCTGATAAGAAAGAGAAATAAGGACAGAGAAAACTTACAGAGGTGAACGGAGATGGCAGTCGCCGGCGAGCAGTGAACGGAGAGAAGGATCGGTGTCGTGATGAGGAAGTAACAAAATAGTAGAGTAAATGATTTTGACTTAAGTCTGTTTAAGTATAGTTAGTTAATTAGCTAAAATCCTAATCAGTTAATTAAGGCTAACTAACTTAATAGTTAGTTATACAAGTTTCTATATCATGTATGTATATAATAGAATTATTATGATTAATATTACTTTTACGTAACAAATAATGCATGTTACTTTCTTCTTCTTTTTTATTTTATGTAGTACTAATCGATTTTAAAGAGTCAATTATATATTTATGACTTCAAAATATTTCAAGTTTAATTATCGCGATTTATAATTTTTTTTTTTTACGTAATTTTAAATCTGTAGAAGTTTAAAAAGATAGAAACGAATGAGAACGAAGAAATTCTGAAAAATTACCGAACTATCCTTGAGTCATACAACACGATCTGTTGCATGCTTTGACACTATGAAATTCTTTTTTATAAGATAGTAATACGTAAAAATCTCACGATATTAAAAATTCGATTGAAGAAATCAAGAATCTAAGGACAGTTTGCGTGAAATCAAATCTAAGGTTAAATCAAAAACAAAAAGTTATCATCAATGAAGATTGTAAATGAAAATGCAGTTGTGTATGTGGGGGTTAAATCCTAATATTAATGCAAATTGATCAACATGCAACAATGATGAAAATTTTAAAAATATCAATTTCACTCTATAAATAAATTATGTTCATAAATAAATTATGTTCAAGATATCGATATAATTATTCATTATTTTTTAGTCTTATTGATATCAATGGTGTGAGTCAATTTTTTTACAATTATTTGATACTGAAAATTAAATTTTATGGAATAGATCATTAAGACTATGTCATCGAATAAAAATAAAATTGGTCTAGTTGACTTGAAGTTTTTATTACCTCCTTTGTTATAGCAAAAACGATATTTACAATATAATAAATATTTGAATAAATACAAATCATAACGTATATCAAATTTTCAATAACGTATTCCAAACTAATTATCTCCTTGTGAAATCTCAAGTATCAATGCCTTGAAGATTGCTCCAACTAGAGTGATAAAATTAAACTCAATCCATTCAATCACTTTGAATTTGGACGGGTTATTGACCCATCATTTTAATCCACTAAAAATAGGGTTAAGATGTAATCTAAATTAACTTATGAGAAATCGTGTCAATATTTTAGAATTTTTTAATTTTTTTTTTTTGATATGTTATATATAACTATAACTAAGAAGAATTTTTTTTATTAGGTACTAAAATATTTTTTAAAAAACAAATAAATAACTAAAATTTAGTAAAAATTTGGTTGGATAGAGTTTGGTCATCACCTTATCCGTTATGACCTACGCAAGTTTAAATTGAGTTGAATTAGGTTTTGACTCGTTTGTTATCTTGATTTATTATGATTCGTTCAAATTTAACCAAATTCGTCTAATTATCACCCCTATTTTCAAATCATAAATAGATCTTTTTAGTTTACATATTTCTTTTTTGGCCTTTAACAATGAAATATAAGGATTGTGTTATGTAATTTTTTTTTGTTTCTCCATTGAAAGAGCTTGCTTTCACATCTATTTAATGTAATTTTAAATCAAAACATGCAACATAGCAAAAATTAACTCAAATAAAAGTAAACATCACATCACAAATAATAAAAAATATCCTCACAATTTATTGAATCTCTTTATCGACCCATTCAATTTGCATTTAACTTATGAACTTTTTTTCTCTCAATAAATATACACAAAGGAGGAAGATTAACTAGATTTCATACTTTATTGATTTTTAACGATATTATGTAATCTTTTCTAACGTTATTATGCAATTGAGGTTCATATTCTTCAAAAAAAAAAGTTTAAGATTTAAAATTGTCATAATTTTTTCTAACGTTATTATGTAATTGAGGTTCATATTCTTCAAGAAAAAATTTAAGATTCAAAATTGTCATAATTTTTTCTAACGTTATTATGTAATTGAGGTTCATATTCTTCAAGAAAAAATTTAAGATTCAAAATTGCCAGTCTCACTTGGATCAAGAACAACTCCTTGGTCTATTTGATTATCTAACATCTTTAAAGCATTGTCTAATTAGTTGAATTCAGTATTTCATAAAGAGAATGATTTGCTATTACTTTACCTTTTTCGAGAAAAAAATATTTTGAATATACGACATTTCGCAATTCACAATACTATTTTCATCTTTTTATTTCATTGATAAAATACATATTTTGGAATGTCATGGTTATCTTATAATGATACTTTTTTTTGGACTTGATTTTTCAAATTTATCAAAATGATCTTTTGCATATGTTGCACAATTCCAAGATCGTAAATCATTCAAATTAGATTTTATGATTAATCTAAGTACATAAAACGTGAAAGGTATTATTAAAAAATATTTTATTCGACAAGTTGGTTATCATCTTTAATACATAGCTATCCAAAATTAGATAGATAAATTTACATGTATCATTCAACGGTATTTTATCTTTTCTATCTCTTACTATCTCGACCTCATGTCTTTTGAAACATTCAATCACTTCAGATTTATGAAAAGCCAAATAGATATATAGAATCTTTTGATTACATTTTAATAAGAGAAATCAAAATTTCTTATTTCAGAAATTGTATTCCCTAACCTCGTCTTATATAAATAAACTAGATTTGAATTAGTTTGGTGTAAACACTCAGTGGAGATAAGTTTTTTCATAAATTTCCTTTGTTCCTAATTACTCGTCCATTTTTGAATTGACACACAGAAAATAATAGTTGATATAGTGAGTTTATCATTTTATCCCTATTAATTATGAAGAGGATAAACTAAAAACTTGAATTTTTCAAGGAGTTCTACATTTTTCAAAGATATTAATTGAGGATATAATAGAAATTTTTTTTATCCTTTTTTGATTTATCAAAATGAACAAATAACTAGAAATAATTAAAAAAAGAAAAATGTACAAATAATTAGAAACACAGGTAGTATTTATTTAAATGGTACTCCCTTTGTTCAGAATTGTTTGTCATGTTGCGCTTATCGAAAGTTAATTTAACTAATTTTCACAATAATTCAATATTTTAAACAAAAAAATTAGAAATTATAAAACTATACGAAAAGTATTATAAATTACAATATTTTGCATATTAATATGATGAAAAATACATCTTAAAATGTTGATCAAAATTTTTATAATTTGACTCTAAAAATAAAAATCATGACTAGCAATATCGAACGGAGAGAATAATACAATATATCATTAATTATGAATATGAAAAGTATGTTAAATATGATAATTAGTGCTATTTATGAAATTTTCTCCTATAAATAAGAGTCCTAAGAACAGTTATTATATAATCCTTCTCCTCCAACCCTGTACCCATAATCCCTAATTTAGCGATCGGAAAAAGTGTTGCAATGCCACCGGAACGTTCATCGTCGTCGGCAGCTACTTCATCATCCTCGTCGCGACACACCTATTCGTCGTCGGCATCTACTTCATCGTTGTCCGCAGCAGCTACCGTATCGTCGTCGTCGCAGTACACCTACTCCAACGGCGCATACTTTCCGACACCAATTCATCTCCAACAACAGCCTCCTCAACCCTACATAGGCGCTGCTCCTCCGCCCGTGCAACTACCTTATCCTTCCGTCTATCCAGCTATTCCTGCTACTCCAGGCGTTTACACTTTACCGCATTTTCAACAAGTAATTCTAAATATGTTATAAGCTTTTATATATATCTGAATTTTTCTCTGTGTGGGCGTAATTGCAATTGATTTTCAATCCTTGCATTTTGTTTGCGTTAGTACTAATAGCTTACATGTAATTATTATGCATGTAATTTTCTCGCTTCTTGGTTTAAGTTTTTTTTTTGAGAATTTGGCTGGTAATTTTTTGAAACTTTCTTGTGAAATTGTTGAGATTGTTCGTGCTTGCTTGTTGAGAGTATATCTGCATCTGTTTGTGTATCTTGCTTACTAGTCAATTAAGTAGGTTCGAAATCTCACGTTCAAATCTCTATTTGTGTTTATGTACGTGATATTCATACTGCTTGCTGGTCAATAAAGTGGGTTCGGAGTCATGAAGTTTCATGTTCAAATCCTAGAGGTAACAATACTAATACTAGGTGATTTCTTCTCATTTGTCACGCCTTGGTAGATTGAGTTTCCTGGTGTCTGGTGAAACTAGTTGAGCTCAGACACCACGGTAATCAAAAGAAAATAATGACGCCAGTTATAAGCTTGTTAGGTTCGTTTTAAGAAAAGGATAGAAGAAAATACCCATAGAAGTATTTACGCCCGGACTTTGTGCTATGTAGCTTTGTCATGTTAAGCTAGCGAGCTTGCTTCGAAAATGAAGCTATATTTTTTTCATGCTTGGAATGTACCTAATTCTTGTGGACAGGCTCAACAGTTATTCCATAGAGATGCGCAAACAATCACACCTGAAGCACTTGAAAATGTGAAGGCTGCACTTGCGAGCAATGAAACTGAGCATAGAGCTAACGCCAAGAAGAGAGGTGTACCTCGTAAAGCAGCAGGAAAAAGTTGGAAAGATCCTACCCTGACGCAGTGGCCATCGAGTAAGCCTAATTTCCTATTCCTTTTTTTTCCCATTTATTGGCTGTGCCTCAGTAGTGTTCATATCTGTTTATTTATAAGCTTAATTTCTCTCCTATTAAGTCTTGGATAGTTTAAGGCATCAATCAAACTGCAATTCATGTCTTGATTATATATCAACTACTTGAAGCCTATGACAATTGACAAGTGTATATGGAAGGCCTAATTGCTGAATAAACCAATCTGTGTGAAGTATGAATAGCAAATACAACAATATACCCAATGTAACCCCACAAGTGGGGCCTTGGGGAGGATAGAGTGTACCCATACCATACCCTACCTTGGGAGTTAGAAATAAAAGGCAAATAAACATACTATAAAAATTTGTATTATTTAAGTAATGGTGGTTTTGTGTCTTTTCAATGCATTTCTTTTTCTTCTTTTCCCTGAGGTATTTAGTAAATGAATGTGTAGGAGATAACTCTCTGAAGTAATCTATCAGATCTTACATGTTAGAATACTATGCTTTATTGGTCCAATTTCATGGTTATGGTCTAGCAAGTAATTGTATCCACTGCTGATATCATTTATCTTACTCAATTATCTTTCACTGTTGGTTCTGCCTTTCACTTCCTTTCATGAATGTTGTTTGCACCTGTTTTCCCATCATTATTTGTTCCTTTTTCTGTAAGAAATTGGTGCAAAATTATAGTATAGTGGAATGACTTACTGTTCGGATGGTGTTGCAGATGATTATCGTCTATTCTGTGGTGATCTTGGGAATGAGGTGAATGAGGATGTTTTATCAAAAACCTTTTCAAAGTTTCCATCCTTTAACATGGCTAAGGTATTATGTTCTGTTAGATAATTTATTTTGCTTTCCAATACTTCTACTGGTTTTTCTTGTC